CTAGCATATAATTAATATAAACAAATTTTATGCGAGTATTATATATATCAAAAAATAGTTTATAATAAAACAATAATTTTGAAGATTAAAGAAATTTATAAGTATTTTCTTTTTTGAAGCTTTAATTAAACAGATAAAAGATTATCCTAAGTTTAATTTACAAAATTAATATTTTAATTTAAACTATTTGACTAAGACTTATTACTATACAAAAAACCTTGACATAACCGCACATGTTTAGACATTAATAAATGCTCGTTTAATAAACGATCGAAACCTCGCCCTAATCCTTCCACTACAATCGAAACAATATTGTTTTTTATTCGACACGAACGTCAATGAATAAGTTAACTAATAAAAGTCGAATTTAACCGTACATATCTGATAACTGGACTATGCAAAATAAAAATGGGAGCCATGTTCAATCTTGTTTCTTTCTTAAATGATTTTAATAAGTTGCGTATATAACGTAAATAATCTATTTTACGTTTCATTTATACATTTTTCCCATAAATGCATAAAGTTCACTACTTTATCACCTAACCCTGACCTTATGATTACACTAAAAAGATAAATCGTTTATCATTGAAAAGTCGGTAAACAAATTTACTAAACTTACAAAATTTACCAAATTTACTAAATTTACTACGTTCATAAAATTTACAAAATCTACTAAATTTACAAAATGTACAAAATGTACAAAATTTACAAAATGTACTAAATTTACTGAATTTACTGAATTCACTGAATTCACTAAAGTTACTGAATTTACTTTAATCAGTAAACTGTGGATTTTATGCATTGACAATAAAAATAAATAGTTGAAATACAAATTACTGAAAACATTAGCAGAATTTAATAACGTTATTGCACTATTTTTTCAACTTACTGGTATTATTAAAAGACAATTTTTATTTTGCACAACATTGTTATAATTTTATTTCGCAGTCTAACGATCACATTTTATTACTCCGTACGAAGCTCCGGTTATTGAAACTTCGTTTCAGCCGTTAAAATAATTGTTCGAAATAAAAAACGGCTGAGGAAAATCGTCGCTCCGTCGAACGACAAACCTACGAATTAATAAAATGCGTCGACGACAACGTTTGTAAATTAATGAAATTTCATCGGCAATTCTAACATCGAGGTGATTTCCTTATCGATACGGCGTGCGGAGCAGCCACTTGCGGAAAAATCGTAAATATAATAAATCGCGAGGGAGAAAAAAAACGGCGTCGCGAACCGTCAACAGTTTACTAGGTCAGCATGTCTCGCTCGGAAAGGTGCTCTCTGTAACGCTGTATATACCATCACTATATCGGAGCACGGGGAGCTCAAACTTCCCGTAATTTCTCGCATTCCAAAAATCCACCTAACGACGTTCGTTTGACTCCTTTGAAACACTCGAGAGAATGCTCGGCATCTAGCGACCGTGGATTCTTATGGGAAATTTGTGCATTAATGTGAACAATATTTATATCATTTTACCACAAGAAAGGATAATATTTAAATTACAAAATCATTGCCCTGTTTTTGATCTTACATCGTTCACCGGCGATTTTGGGTTTTAACGAATTTCGTTCGCATTAACTAGAAAGTTAATTTTCTATAATTGTATTAATTTCTTCGTGTACCTTTGTTTTACGTTATTTTCTCTTTTTTTTGTTTCTAACTATGTATACGTATTGTTTCTATGCACGTCGATGTGCACAGAGGTAATAACCCTGCAAGGGATTCGTAGATAAAATAAATAAAAAAGAAAACCATAAACGGGATAGAAATGTTTCTTAGAGAAGTGAAATTGATTTTTCGAAATTGTTTACCTGCTTGTATCGTAAACGACGCATAAATGACTTTATATACCCTCCCTCTCGACTTTAACGGCGTTTATTTTCTCATACTATAAACATTTAAGTGCGTCTAGATAATGTTCAAACAGAATCGAAGATTCACAGCAATTTCGACCGAATTTATTAGGTTTTACGAAGCTGGTACAGTATATATAATTTTTCCGTAATTCGCGCTCAGATCGCGCACAAAAATTGGGAAAGATCCGATTTTCAACAATTATGAAAATATCGTATCTCCGCTTCCCAAATTGTCCATTTTTGTGCGCGATCCGAGCGCGAATTAGGGAGAAATTACTGTATTGTTTCGTTGTTCGAACATGCTCAAACGCGGCATTGAACAACACGCCGTTACATCGAGGTGAGAGTCTGTGGAATGTCTCAAGGTAAAAAACAGTGTAATAGGTTTCATAGTTACAGCACAAGAAATCCTTGAAGTTGGAAATTACCTAATAGATCAAACCAGCGCCACGAACTTCTCTCTGCTCGACGTTCGATCAACGTTCGTTCAAACGTTTACAATGCTATCTAAACCGCGTTGTTTTTATTTCAGAGAATCTGCACAGATTTTCAAGGCGGGAAACACATTCGACCAGCTTTCGTGGTGACTGCACGAGTCCTATCTGAAATGTCACGAACTTTCTGCGCGGCTTCAAACATCGTCAAACGTCGATACTCTTATAAAACCGTGAGCCGTTCTGCTAAACAAAGTCCGTGGAACGTTTAGAAGTACAAAGCAACGTGGTAGATTTCCTAGTGAAACGAATTGCCAGGTCGATCGTAAGCATCCTCCGAACGGCTTCAAACATCGACAACCTTACAGAAGCATATACGATCGAGTTACTCTCCGGTATCATCTCATGACGATCTACGAAAGTAGATCTAGGACTACGGATGTAGATCTAGAACCATGGAAGTGGATCTAGAACCACGGAAGTAGATCCAGAACTACCGAAGTAGATCTCTAGAACTACTATAAATTCTCCCCAATTGACGCTCAGCTTGTACAGCAAATTCTCCCTAATTGACGCTCAGATTGTATACAAAAATTGACAATTTATGGAGATACAATTATTCAAGCCATGCGACTTATTTTTACAATTGCCAATTGTCAACAACTACAGGATATTCCATAATTATGTTAACACCCAGAAAGGGGTGATTCCTGAGGTCATTTGAAGTAACTTTTTCCTTAGCGAAAATGCAATCCGCGGCTTTATTTACGAGTTATTAACGAAAAACACTGACCAATGAGAGGCGAGCGCGACTGGCGTAACGCGGCCGAGCCAACGAGCAGTCGAAGACCAATTCCGCTGATTAGCTCAGCCGCCTAGCGCTAGGCGAGCTCGCCTCTCATTGGTCACTGTTTGTTGTTAATAACTTGTAAACGAAGCCGCGGATTGCATTTCCGCTAAGGAAAAAGTTAGTTCAAATGACCTCAGGAATCAACCCTTTCCGGGTCCATTTTTGTGTACAACCTGAGCGTCGATTAGGGAGAATTTATTGTACACCGTGTCTCATAAATATAAAACCAGCCACGGATTTTCAATATTTACACGTTGTACTTAATACGATAATGAAGGTACTATGCCATATTTTAGATCGCAAAGAGAACCGATATTTTTCTAAAACGGGACAAAGTTTATTTGTCAAGGAAAAAAGACAAACGGAAAATACTAATTTATTCTCGTTTTGTAACTATGAAAGCAACGGAATAGAACGCTTTGTTACAGAAACGTTCAACGATAAAATTGAAAAATACGATCAAATGAAATTTTAATAATCAGTAAAGTATTCTAATATTCTAGTATTTAGTAAAATTTCAGTTCAAATATTCGATTTTGCCTGTTTGCGAGCAGACTTTGCCGCATTGTTTCTTCATATCTTTCCGCGAGAAAGGACCTTCGTAGACTTGGTTCTATAACTGTCGAATCAGTGTAAATTCTTCCTCATTTCCCTTCAGCTTGTAAATAAAAATGGACAGTTTGGGAAGAGGAGAACGATGATACGAGTTTTGCACCTTGTTTTTATAATTGTTAGCAATTGGCAACTATAAAAATGAGCCGCGAATAATAATCGTATATCTCGAATACTCGTATCTCTTCTTCCCAAATTGTTCACTTTTGTTTACAAGCTCAAGGAAAATTGGAGCGAATTTACCGCACTGCTCTGGTCTTTTGTGTTTCGGAATAAACACAACCTGCCCCTCTCCCAAAAAAGATGCGTTGTTCCTCGATACGATTTTGAACCTGGCATAATTCGTTCATTATCATACAGATTTCTGTGTATAAAAACTGAAAATTTGTCGTCAGTTTTTCTGGTTGCGAAGACGCAGCGTACGTTAAGCCGCCAAGGTGGCGCACGGTGGGGGATGAAACGACGAAGTTTTGTCAAAATCGAAGAACTATTGATAAAAACGAGACAAAGCGATGCTATTTCTTTTACGTTAAAGCCGAAACGTTGCAGAGTAAGAGAAAAATAGAAAGGGTGCAATATGAACAATTTTTAACCGCGTAAATCCACGTCAAACTTGAAATATTCCAACGAAACACTGATTTATCCAACACCGTGTACAGTTGGACATTGTTATAATCACATGCTACGCATCATTTTCCACCGATTTTGACACGCTGATTTCAAATCCTGTCGCTAAATTTCTCCACCGTTCCACGATTTTGAGAACAAAATCCGCGGATCGTCGAATCGTTTCAACGAACGAAACAGAATTTCGTTGGTTCGTTCACTCGAATCGATTATCGTCAAAATCCTGCGGCGGAAGACAAATGTCGCGTTGGAATTTGAAATCGGCGCGTCAAAATGTGTACAACACAGAATATACAATACGTCGAACGACGTGTAACGTGTCATAAAACCAAGTCCAACCGTACACGATATCGGACAATTCACAATTTCGTTCGACCACTTCGTGTTCAACGTGAACGTTCAAGGTTGAAAAATGTTTCTACCACGTTTCCCTCGTCCGACGAACGCTTCAGCTTTGACGTAAACGAAGCAGCGTCTCCCTTTGTATCCGTTTTCTGTGAGGAGAGTGTGCTCTGCTTTCGACAGAGGTTTCGCGGCTTGACCGCCACTGTGCGTCGGCGAGTGGCATCGGTCGCCAGTAGTCCGAGTAAACGATTAGGTCAGACTCACCAGGATTCGTCCAGTGGTGGTCTGCCCGGAGATAAGTTCGCCGGCCCAGTCCTTGGCCTCGGTCATGAAAGTCCCCTCGAACTCCTTGCCCTGTCGGCTGGTCTTCTGCTCCTTCTGCTTCGGGTCATTTGGTGGGATCTCGGGCTCCTTGCGACAGCAGAGGAAGGCGAACGCGCGCCAGAGGAGCACGATCAGCAGCCCGGCGAGAAACGTGAATATGCTCGATAGCAGGAAGCACCACCATTTCCGTTCCTTCAGGCAGTCGTCTACCGGGGGCTGCTCGGTCGTCTCTTCGGTCGTCGTCATCGCGGCGGATCTCTGCTGCCCCCGGGTCACACATTCACCGGCGGCGATCAGAAACGGTGTACAGCGATGCGCGGCACTTTATCCGCTTCATAATTAAGAATCGAGCGCAACTTCCTCGGCCGGCCCGTGTGCGGTGTGTCTTGCTATCTAGCCAACGTCCTCGTCCTTTTGACTCGTTCACTGTTACACGCACTATAAGTAACCGGGTCCAGGCGCCCCTTCCACTCCAGCCCCCCCCCCCCCTGCCCCTTCTCCGTTCAATCTCTAAATCGT